GCAAACTCCAAGAAGTTTTCCTCAGGGTGGCTTGCTGGGAAAGGCAACTCTCACACTCACATCGGTACACACACACATACACACACCACCCAGGACATCATCCCATGTGACTGCACAGGAGAACATCCTGTCTCTGCCCGGCCCTGCAGGCAGACTCCCTCTAAGACGATGGGGACCAAGTGGAGCTTTCCCCACCTGGAGGTGAGGTGAGGTGAGGTGAGGGCACAGCCTTTCCAGCTTAGGATTGTTCTCCCCTCCTCTTAACACCCGCTTCTTAGCTCCAAAGCCCCTCTGGGTGCTTCTGCGATAGACACCCTAAACCAGAAGTACATTTGCCAAGCCTTTGAAGTCCACTAAACACGGGAAGACATGGCCTTAGACCCGGCAAGTTGACTTTAAGGCTCTTAGCCTGGTAATCAGCCTAAGCTCGCATTAGCAAACATCCTATTCTTTTCTGGGGTCTTTGTGAGATTTGCGGGGGGTGGGGAGGGGAGAGAAAATTACATTTACAAACACTGCCCAGATGTTCTTGCACTAAAGCTCCCAGAAGCCTCCACCACTAGCTGAGCTGGCCAGGATTTCTGGGAGTTGTAGTCCAAGAACCTCTGTGGGCCCAAGGCTGGGAACCGCAGCTCTAGAAGATAGTAGCTCAGAGTCGGACCCTGGATCCATAGTGCTGTTTTGTGCCTTGAGTCCGAGGAGGTGTCTTGGCCCCTTTCGCAGGCCGTGGGAACGCTGTGCATGGAGGCATGGCTCCAGCTAGAAGCCCCGGGGGAAGAGCTTGGTTGCACAGGAAGACCCCTTAGGAGCAGGGGGTCTTCTTTCGGGAAAGCCCTTCCTCCCAGGGAGACCAGTGGGCCAAATCCTGCATCCACGTTCCTTTCCCAATGTCTGCAGTGGAACTCAGGATGGGGCTCCAGCAGGCCAAGGATGTAACCTTCAGGCTGGGGGGGGGCAGGGTTGAATTATTTGGAGGTCATATCTTTTCTACCTCCAGGCAGTCCTTGCTGTGAATGGAGCTGACTTAGGGGGGAGCGGGAGGGGCATAGATAGAGTTGTGTTTCCTCTTAAAACATTGTGGGAATTCAGGGATTCACACCTGTCTCCCATCATCCATATCCAGAACTCAATTCCGATTACATGACGGTGACTGTTATTCTTGCAGACACTGGCAGGGATGTTGACCAAGTCTTGGGGTCTGACTCCCGACTCCCAAGTCTTTGGGACCCAGTCCCGACTCTCAAGCCCCAAGTCTGAGTCCCTTTTGATAACAATCTTTTTTCCCCCAGAAAAAGTTCTGAGTCGCGAGTCTGAGTTGTTGAAAAAAAGGAACTGTCAAGTTCAAGGTGGGTCCCTGGTGTGACTTAAGTCTGATTTGACAGTGCATTGAGCCCCTGTCCCTGGTCACTGGTCTACTCATATACTGTACACACGATACAAGCGATGAACACACCCACACATAGATGGCTGCCAGTGGGGTAACCGTATCCTGCCCGTCCTTATCCCTGCTGCTTCTGTTACTGCACAAGATCTAAAGATCGTACGCCTTTGAAGGTTTGAGTGAACGTCCCACAAGCTTCTTCTAAGAAAGGGAAGCAGTCGTGGAGCAAGCTGGCCGGTCCTTCCCTTCCCTTCCCTTCCCCAGTTCCTTCACGTGATTCCAAGAAATTCATGGCCATTGCAGCTGCTCCGTCCACCCCATCCGGGCTCTTCTTCGCCCTCCAACTGCAATGCAAAAACGATGGCTCCATTGGGCCAGCCTCCCTCCTGCCTGGCCTGACCCTGCCAGCCCAGGGTCTTGAGACAGTGACCTCTTGAACGGGTAACACCGCTTTAGCCAAGCCTCCCGCATTTCTCCAAGCCCTCTTCATGAAAGGGGGATTCTGCGTGACTCGCTCCTAGCCTTTCTCCTGAATGGGCCCTCATGGCGCTTTGCTTGCTCAAGCAGCTCACAATCCCCCAAGTGGCCTTTGCGTTGGTGGTGCCCAACCAAGGCGTTGCTCTTTCCCGCCCTGTTCTAAAATTATGATTCCCAGCCACTAATGGAGGAAGAAGGCTGAGAAGGCTGAAAGGGCATGCTTTCTAAAGAGCTTCATGTGAACTGCTGGATGGCTCAGGGGTTTAAGGCACTTGGCTGTGGAGTTTGGGGGTTCAATTCCCCGCCAGTGCCTTCTTGGAGGGGAGCTGGACTCCATGGTCCAGAGGGTCCCTTCCAGCTCTGCAGCTCCGAGATGATGATGATGATGATGATGATGATGATGGTGATGATGATGATGCTGATGATGATGATGATGATGGTGATGATGATGATGATGATGATGAACAGCTCAGGGGTCGAGGTCTCTGGCTGTGGAGCCAGAGGTAGGGAGTTTGATTCCCCCACTGGGCTTCCTTGAAAGGAGTTGGACTCGATGATCCATAGGGCCCCTTCCGGCTCTGTTCTAAGATGATGATGGTGATGATTACCATGCTGTTCCAGGTCACAGTCCTTAACTGTCATCCAGAAGGGAATTTCATTTGAGTGCAAATCTGGGGAATTCTGGGGAACAGCATCTGCTCTTCCTGAGCACCCCACTATTCCTGGAGGACGTTTCTTACAAGTCAAGTAGCTCCATGTCTCTTGTCCCTGGAAAGCCTCTTTCATGGGCTTACCTTCTTTTATAGGACTCACAGCAGGGAGGGGGAAATGGCTGGCCGAGGCGACCTCTTCGGCTCGCAGGACTCCCCACCGAGCCTTTAGGCTTTTTCATTGGGCCCCATACCCCCCCACGTCCACCACCCTCCAACACTGATGAGGGTTTAAGACCAGGAATATCCCCGGACAAGGCAGGGGGGAAAAAGGCAGATGCTTTTTCTGAGTGCGTTGTTTGGAGCTACATTTTAGAAACATCGTTTTAATACTGGTTTGATCTATTTTCTTTTAATTGCTATAAGCTGCCTTAGGTCCTTTTGAGGAAAATGGCAAGGTAAAAATATTGTAAACAAACAAATAATAATAAACACCTTATCTAGATCCATTTCAATTGGGTTTCAGGCCGGGTTATGGGACGGAAACTGCCTTGGTGGCCCTATTTGAGGACCTTTGCCGGGAGAAAGACAGGGGTAATGCATCCCTGTTGATTCTCCTGGACCTCTCAGCGGCTTTCAACACCATCGACCATGGTGTCCTTCTGGACAGATTGGCTGGGATGGGAATGGGAGGCACTGTTTTACAGTGGTTCCGTTCCTACCTGGCTGATCGAGTCCAGAAGGTGGTGCTGGGGGACAGTAGCTCTGACCCATGGCGGTTGCGTCATGGGGTTCCTCAGGTTTCTATACTGTCCCCCATGCTGTTCAATATCTACATGAAACCGCTGGGGGAGGTCGTTAGGAGGTTTGGGCTGAGGAGTCAGCAATATGCTGATGACACCCAGCTCTACCTCTCATTTTCTACCAATCCAGGTATGGCAGTCACCGTTCTGAACTCGTGCCTGGACTCGATAATGGTCTGGATGAGGGTCAATAAACTGAGGCTCAATCCAGACAAGTCTGAAGTGCTGCTGGTAGGTGCCCCGCCAGATAGGTTAAAGGGCCATCTCCCTACCTTAGACGGGATTACACTCCCCCTAAAGGATAGGGTCCGCAGCTTGGGGGTGCTCCTTGACCCCAGTCTGACCTTGGAAGCCCAGGTGGACTCGGTGTCCAGGGGTGCCTTCTTACAGCTGCGGAGAATATATCAACTTCGCCCTTACCTGGATGAGCGGAGCCTGGCAGCAGTCACTCATGCACTGGTAACAACCAGACTGGATTACTGCAATGCGCTATACGTGGGGCAGCCTTTGAAGACGGTCCGACGACTGCAACTGGCACAGAACCAGGCTGCGCGGCTGGTAAGTGGTGCCGCCGCATGGACTCATATCACGCCGGTTCTGAAAAATTTACACTGGCTGCCGGTTGCTGCTCGGGCCCAATTCAAAGTGCTTACTTTGACATATAAAGCCCTAAACGGCTTAGGACCTGGTTACCTAAAGGACCGCCTTCTTCCATATGTGCCTGCCCGTCCTCTAAGGTCAGGCCAGGAGGCCCTTCTGAAGGTGCCATCCCTGAAAGAGGTGAAGGGGATGGCATGTTGGAATAGGGCCTTCTCGGTTGTTGCCCCCCAACTTTGGAACACCCTCCCTAGAGAGATCCGCCTGGCTCCGACACTCTTGGCCTTTCGGCACCAGGCAAAGACCTTTCTGTTTACCCAGCATTTTAATTAATTAATTTTAATGTTTAAGAAATATTTTAATATATGCTATTTTATACTGTCTCTTAAAATGTTTTTAATGTTTTTAAGTTTTAATGTTGTACGCCGCCCAGAAGCCCCTTCCTGGAACTCAAGATGCTTCCATGCCCACGAATGATGTCTGGTTAGGGCGGCTGTTCATCACCTCCAACCTCAGAGGCACACCACTTGTGTCTATCATTCGTTGGGGCACAGGAGAGACAGAACGGAGCTGCCCCCCAAGTCCTCCTGGTGGCTTCCTATTGAAGGAAGTGGTGGGACTGTCGTGGGAAGAGCAGGGCCCCCTTCCATCTGATCCAGCCTCCAGGCTCTTCTTCTTGAAAGCATTTTCCATCATGTCTTGTGAGGAAGGGGTAGCAGTGGATCAAGTTATAAGTTTGTCGTGCTGATTTATGGCTGCAGGAGTCAAGGGACGGTCACCGTCACAGAGGGTCAGGGTTGTTTTCTCCCCCCAAGCTCCTGTTCTGGGAGATATCTCTCCAAACCTTTGGGGCACCATCAAAAAATCTTAGGGAAGGGCCCATCATGGGCTGTGTCCTGGAGTTCACTGACAACCCAAATATATTGATTAAGAAGAGTCAGAGAGGTGTCAGAAGAAAGCCTTCCATCACGAGACCTTTAGAAACCACACCCTTCCTCGGGGCCTCTGAGATGGTTTTTCTGGAGCAAGCTGGGTTGAAACGGTGACACCCGGCTTTCCAGTTGTTGACCCTTCTTTCCTTTCTTGGTTCAGTGTCTCCGGCTGCTGAGCGTCTCCGGTACATCCTGGGTGAAGATGACGATCCCCCCAACCCCACCTTGTTCACAGAGATGGACACCCTCCAGCATGACGGAGAAGAACTGGAGTGGAAGGAGTCAGCCAGGTATTCAGAAAGCAGGAGGGTAGCCAGGCGGCTGGTTCTCCTTCTCAAGGGGTGCCCGCTTCCCTCTTTGGCTGCGAGGGTTCTCCCAAAGGGGGAAAAGGCCGTTCCGTCTCCTCCAAGTGTCCCGTTCTGTGGTTCCCTGAAGTTCTTGCAGGATTCTGCTGGGAGCTGAGTGAGCATTCATTCCATGTTTGCTATCTATCAGCAGTTGAAAAGTTAACCTTGATTTTTGTTTTTAATTGCAAGCCTGTAAAGGAAACCCTTGAGAAACCTCAACACTGTAATGAAAGTCATAGAGGAAGCATAAGGCATCTTCTCTTTATTGTTAGCTTACGTTTTTCTTTAAAAAAAGAAAAGAAAGGAAAGAACACCTCCAATCCAGATGAGGTTTTCTCTTTCTCTCTGAGATGCCCTGTGCATGGATCAGCTGCTTTTCCTGATGGTTCATTTTTATCGGATCTCACTTTCTGAGTTCAAATGGGGAGGGAAAGAGTCAGGGGCTTGCCTTGCTGAGCTTCTCGGTTGGGAAGAACAAAAGGATTTGTGGGTGTTTGTGGCGTTTCTAAAGGGGATCAATGCCATGAGGTCAGGCAGTTAATAAGATAGATTTTTCATTAACTCGTGGGTCTCTCTGGCCCACGTGCGCTGGTGGCGCTCAGCTTGTGCCACATAATGACCTTGTCTATTGTGCTCTCACCTAGGAGGGGAGGGGGGCTGCCCCGCTCAGGACCGCTGGCGCTTGTGGGGCTGGATTCACACCACCACTGAGGATGATCATCATCAGAAAGGCCCCTGCCATAGAAAATCAAATGAAGGGTGTGGGCGGCGGCAGAAGCATTGACCGCAGGGTGCGTGATTGTTGGTGCTGACCTGTTTTACTTGGTTCATCGGTTTTAATACTCTCTAGACACCCTTTTCACAAAAGTCACCCAGCGAGTACACAAGGAAATCAAAAGAGAACTGTAAAATAAAAATTTAAAAAAGTATCAAGCCAGTAACCTC